CAAGAAAGTTAAGCTGAGGCCAGCAAAAGGGAGAGGGACAGAGGGGAGTGGGGAAGAAGCCAAAGGGGTGCTAGATGTTGCTGCTTCTGCAAATGCCCCCTCCTTCCCCACTGCCCCCTTATTCTAGCTGGCCTTGGTGTAAGTGATGTACTCGGGGAGCGGTGAAGGGTAGAGGGGCTGTTGGAGTGAGGCAAACAGAGCCAGCCAGCCAGCCAGAGGAAAATCCACCTCCTTCTGTCTCTGCCCTCTCAGGCTCCCAACTATGATATTAAGAAGTTCCCAGTCACAATCCTTCCTATTGTGGTGGTGGGGGTTTCAATGCCAGGCAGGGGGCCACAATTTACTGATGATTATTAGTTTTGAATCACTCCCCTACTCTGACTATATGGATACAATTTAATGTAATTTTTATTGTAGCTCATTTATCTACCAGCAGGTATCCCAACTTTGTAAGTAACGGGAAGCCCACAATCCCCCGATTCCATGCTGATGTTCTCTCTCTTTCCCTTCCTCACCATTTTCCTTTCTTACTGGTCTTTTTCTTCCTCTGTCCTGGTGCATTCTGCCACTTCACGTACTCATTCTGCCTAACAATTACCCTTCTCCATTTATTTATTTATTGCATTTGTATCCCGCATTTGTCCCAAAATGGGATCCCCATGACCACCACCTTGCCAGGCAGCAGGACCTTTTTGTTCTCCTCTCTTTTAACCGTTTGAAGAGGATGATAGCCCTGCAAAGGAAAACACTACAGGAGTTACCTAGAGGCCCTCTGGGAAAATGATATCCTAGGTATGAGATCAGCTCATTAGGAAAGATTAGGGAAGCCTGCCCCCTCATGGCTAATAGTGGCACTGCAAGATTTAGACAGAATTTAATCAACTGAAATGCATTAATTTAAAAAACCAAATAGATCCAAGGTGTATGCTCCTCATGTCCCTTAGTAATATCCATCCAGCTTTCAGTTATATAGCTACCATGATCATGGGGCTTTGATGGAGACAGTGACAATCAGGCACACCTTTT